GATGCCGCCCGCCGCCCTCCCGCTGCTGCTGCCGCTGCTGCTGCTGCCGGCGGCGCGGCCCGCGGCGGCCCCGCACAGGTACCGGCGCGCGGGGCTCGGCAAGCCCGGCCCGGGCTGCAGAGCCTCCTTATAGCGCACCTCGGGGCGCCGGACAGCGCGGGGGAGCGGGGCCCCGGCGCCGCGTTAAACTGCGCGCGTTCCAGCAGCGCTGACATTAAAGCGGTGGTAACGGGACGTCTGCTTGCAGCTAGCCACATGCTGAGTGTTTTATCAGGCGGCCACTGCCTCCTTGCTGTCGTTCAAAGGCTAAATGTGATGTACTTAAAAATTAAAAACTTTTTTTTTCTGCTATTCCCAGACCTTCGTTTGCATGTGGAGGAGTCGTATCTGGAGAATCGGGATTTATTGGGAGTGAAGGATTTCCAGGAGTCTACCCTCCAAACAGCAAATGTACTTGGAAAATCACAGTAAGAACTTTTAATATCACAAATGAGTGCTGGAGGCGATGAAGAGCTACATCTTGTTAATGCCAGGGTTTTATATGGGATAGCAGAAGGGCGCAATAATGTGTGCAAACAAAACGAGAAACTGAAGAAATGGTTTAAGTGTATTAATGTAGTGCCTATGATATTGCTCAGGTGGCCAGTGCACCTGGAGTAGCTCATGCAGCAAGGTGACAAAGCAACAGGAAAGTGTTGCTGCTTCTATAAATGACCTTACTTATGCTATGATACCTTGATGCTGAAATGGGTCTGTAGAGCAGAGAGTTGCAGCCACCAACAGCAGGAGCGAGTGAGCAAACACTCCATTAAACAACTAGGACTCAACATCACCAGTGCCAGATGTGTTGTCATCCCCAGGCTCAGGGAAAGGGTTTAATTACTGAGATTACTTTTTCTTACATCTGCACAAATTAAATCTTACAGTGGCCTCCAAGTTCTCTTCTAAATGGCACAATTCAATAGGAGATTGAACGACTTTCAGGCCCAGAATATGGGTTTTACAGAACATCAAAAAAAAAAAAAAAAAAAGAAAAGAAAAAAAAGGAAAGAAAGCAGCAAATAAACTGGTCTGTGTGTTGCAGTGATCATGAAAGGCAACCATCATTTCAAAGACTGCAGCACAGAGCAGCTGGTGGCAGTAGAAGAGGATGTCAGAGGGCAGAGATGCTGGCACAGCTGGGGCACACTGATCTGTCTGCAGTGCTGTGTTACAGGGAATCTCGCGCCAAATGGGATGTCGCTTGGGTTGTTTGATAAATGCCAGGGAAGCTGCAACAGGTACTTTCTGTGCCTTTGTGCTGCGTTACCATGAGGGCAGGTTAGAGGCTGTGAGTGACTTTGTGTGTGAGAGCACAACAAAAAAGGTAGCCTGAAGAGGCTGAGAAGGCCAAGACGGCAGCAGCTGCTGCCGGCTCCTCTGGAAGTCTTAAGAGTAGACACTGCTTCCATTTGGAATAATATGAGTGTGCCTTAAACCAAAGGAAAACCAACCAAGTTAGTTAGCTGGCACATACTGGCATTAGAAGCTGGCTTCAGAAGCTCAAAACTAAATCTGGAAAGAAATAATCATTTGGTCATAACAGTATCAAGTTTTTATCATTACAAAAACTGGTTTATAGATGGAAGTGTGCACTGAAACATCCTGCTGGTCTGCCCTCTGAGGGGAGCGGGAAGAGGACAACTGGCTGTGTTTACCCTGGAGTGCCTTTTCACTGCAGGCTAATGCTGCTGTCAGCAGCGAGGTCCGAGCGTCCCGGTTAGCCGGGCATCGCTGTGGGAAGCCTCCCACGGAGCTGCAGCAGCTGCGCCTGCATCTGTGGCCCACTGGCCATGCAGCAACTCAAGAGCCTCGGGCATTTCGTGGTCACCCTCACGCCTGCTTTCCTGCTCTTTCTTTACTCCTGGCCTTGAGGCTGCTGGATCCGTTCCCCCGAGGTTGCCCAAAGCAGGGAAGGGCTGCACATCCCGTGCCAGTGCGGGGCTTCCTGTCAACCCCTGTCACTAGGCCAAGCTGATGATTTTTCCCCAGGGTTGTGGAGAAGTCCTGTGTCTTTTTGATGTGCAGGAAGGATTTGGGGAAGTCCGGGAGGACTATCAAAACTTGCAAGTCTCAACCTGTGGTTTGAAGCTCAAGTGCGCTTGCTAGCCTGAATTTGAGCAACAAAACCCTGGGATCAGATACTGAGACGGGGATCCACATTGCTTGCAGTAGCCCTAAAGTAAGAAACAGAGCTAGCTGCCACAAAGAAATATGCCTTATGTTTGGCATCCTCATTTAGCATCTGATCTTAGAAGGTGATCGAGATTTCCTGCTTGCCAGTTTTAGGCAAGGGATGTGAGCTCCTTGCTGACTGTGCTCAGCCTAACGCGTGATCTGACAGGTCTGCAAGGCTGCAAGAGACATTGATTCACTTTCTGGCCCTTAAGAAGCACGAAGCTGTTGTTTTTTAAATTGGAATACCTTGTCATCTATAGGAGAAATTCATATTGAGGCAGAGTGACAGCAAAATAGTTCTTTGAAATAAAAATGGCTGTAGAAGACATTATGGGTAGTATAGATAAAGCAATGTAGCATTCAGGTATCAGCTGAAAGCTTCCCAATTGGTTTGCTCCAGCTAGAAGAGTCTCTCTAACTCAATTATGGTTCTGTTATTCCAAGAGACTGGGACTTTTTCAGCTGGCTAAAGAAAACAGCTCCTCTATTCTGAGAGCTCTAAGAAGTGTTCAGCACATGCTTGTGGTTATATTACAACCTTGGCAGACAACCCAGAAGCTTTAAGTTGGCTTTCCTAAGAAGTCATTTGTACAGCTATTTCCTTTCCTATAGTAATGTATATAGCTTTATCTGAAATATATCACATACATTTACTTTTAATGCTCTATAATCCTTCTTGGTCACCACCTCACATAAATGTGTCAAATAGTCCAAGAAGCTGGATCACTGCAGAGTGTTTTCCTGGCAAACTGTGTAGTTCTTATAAAAGTCTAACATACTTTATGTGCAAAAATAATCCTGAAGACTGTCAGAGTTATGTAAGGTTATATTTTTTTTTTGTAGGTTCAAGAGCTGCATTCCGGCAGGTTTGCTGACAATAAGCAGGGTTTAAAAATTGTCAGTGGAGTTGGGAATCTGCCCTGGGGGAGTGAAATATTTTAAATCATTTTTTCAAAATTTTAAGCATTCATTTCCCCACATAGTTGTGAAACTGCCCTTCTAGTAAAGCTCAGTTCTTTACCCACAGCTGCAAGGACAGAAAAGCTGATCATGAGCTGGTGCCTTCACCAGGGAAAGCAGGCTGGTATGAACTTGAAAAAATGCTTCTGCTGTGGCTGGAGCGGATGGAGCTAGGGGACAAGGGGAGAGGCAGGGAGAGGTGGGAACTGTGTTTCTTTCCAGGGTAGAACTCCCTGAACGTGAAACAACATGAAATATCTTTCTCATTTATTCTCAGCAGAGAGAATAAATATGTTCAACTTGAGAAATATACCATCTACCTGCAAGTCAACTTAGGACTGTTACGGGAAAAATAGAATCATCATTTTAGCATTTGTTGCACTTATGTTGTAAGTACATATGTACTTACGTTGTAAGTAAAAGTACATTTACTTGTACTTATGCAGAAAGTGAAGACCCCCTTTCAAGTTTCCGGGGAGCATGCCCAAGCTGTCACACTTTCCCAAACTGCTTGTTTGAGTGTTTGTTTTGAAAAATGTATTTTTCAGGGGAAAGCCCCTGAAAAAAGGTTCTTTTCTTGAGAGAGAGAAATGGCTAATTTTAAAACCTGTAAGTACACTGTGATTAATATTACATAAAATATCTTCTATGGATGATAACAGAAAAATATATCTGGACCTTATTTTGTCATGAGTTATAAAAAACAAGCATGCCCTTTCTAAGAAGATAATAATCTAAATGGATGTTGTAGGGAATTGCATTCTAGAAAGCTCTCCAAAATATTTGTGGACTCTATTTCTCTTCAGCTGCCAATGGAAATAATGCAAATTCTTGAAAAGAAGTGATATCTTTCACAGACACTCAGCATCGTAATATCTGAGCCTAAAGTGCATAAAGCCAAAGCCAAAAGGAACAGGGCAACAAAGGGCAGGCACTGGTCAGTCACCCTTGGAGTGACCCGGAGGGGCAGAAGCTGAGAAGGCTCCTTCGGCGCGAGATGGCAGCTGCAGGGATAAAACAGAAAAATAAGGCACACCCTGCAGGGGAGGCAGTGCGTATTCTTTCTTTGACTCCCTCCTCTTTTCATTTCTTAAGAACAGAGCTACAACTTCTTCCAATTCCTCCTCTGAGGTATCACATCTTACTGCATCAGGCTCGGACACAGCCCAGAGTAAACAAAACTGAGTCACGCCGGCCTTTGCCTTCTCCCCTGTGCTTCTTAGGGAACAATGTTTTAAATGTCTGCAGATAAACACTGGCAGCCTCTAACACATCAGTTTCCCAGATTTGGAAAAAAAAAAAAAAAAAAAAAAAAAAGAAAAGAGAAAGGAAAGGAAAGGAAGGGCGCTGGTGGAAGCGCCGTGCAGCCTGCCAGGGAGAAGTGCTCGTGGGACAGGATCCCTGGGCGTAGCTGCAAACCGGGTACTCGTGCGGGACCCCGTGGCACTGCAAGCTTGTGACTAATTTAATGTGCTGGAGCAGCACTTCCACTGTTCTGGTGAGGCATGACAGATATTGTTTACTAAGTAATGACATCTTTTAAGAGCACAGTGGCAGTCAGCTGTACCTGCAACTGCGGGACCTGGTCTGCATGTTTGCACGCAACTTCTCCCCCCGCCTCAGGTCCCTCAGGGCAGGTTGGACGCTGCTGACCGAGGCCTGGAGCAGGCTCTTTGCCCAACAGCCAGGAACACATGGCAAACTTTTCTAAATGCTTCCTCACAAAATGCCACGAAGGAAAACTAAGGATATTTATAGGGAAGAGTCTTGACCAAGGTCAGCTAATCTGAAGGTAAAGATTAAAAACAGATATTAAAAGATAATTAAATAATGTAATGGAGTGTAACATTGTATTGGGGAGAGGAGACGGAAGCACAGAGCTCTGCCTAGGATTTCTGGGATGGGAAAGCCAAGACTTTACCATCACTCCCTCTGGACCCTGTGGAGTGCTAGCCGCTCTCACGCTGGGTTCCCAGCTGCTTGTGCAGCCTGGGGCAAGAACGAGTGTCCGGAGGCCAGGGCAGAGCCGGGCTGCCTTGGAGCGCTGCATAAGGTGTCACTGAGCACTGTGGGGCTCCGTGGGGGACACCAACGTGGCTGGACCGGAGCCGTGTTCACAGCAACAGCCAGAAGCTGCTTCTCACCCCAGAACCAGCCGCTCTCACACTGCAGCCCTCTTCTCCAACCTCCATGAGGGACCAGGTGTCTTCAAAGAAGCAGCTAAAGCTGAAAAAATAGAGGAAATGTCATAAGAACTGCTTGTATGCCTAGGGACATGGTTTGGTAGGTATGGTGTTGCAGGGTTTACGGTTGGACTCGATAACCTCGAAAGTCTTTTCCAACCATAATGTTTCTATGATTCTATATTTAATTTACTGTGATAGAGCATTCTTTTTTTGGCTGAACTTTCAGAAACAGCAGATGGAAAAGGGAGAACTGTTTCAGATGCGTAAATTGTGGAAAGGCTGCAGGACACTGAAAATGTTTGCAACAGACAATGTTGGATTTAAGGCATAACTGCTTTGCTGATATTAAATCATTAAAGCATGACAACCTATTAAGGTCTCCTCATTTAGGTACTGTTGTACTAGGTGTTGTTCAAATGTACAAATAACAAGAGACTTGACTCAAAACAGCTAACTTTTTTAGGTAGAGCTATTTGACATTTTTGAAGAAGAAAAAACCCAAACGGCCTAACTGTGACTTTATGTGGCTAACATTACAGCTATCGCTTCTGGATTTTAATCTGTCAGGTCACATAGTGTTTGCTGTATAATCATAAATGGCATTCAGGTCTTCTGACATGAATATCACATTTCTCTTAACGCCTTTTCTGTTAAAATAGCCATGCCTTAATGCCTCTTAGTGATTCAGACCAAAAAAACAGTGACTGCAATAAATGGAGCAGTGATTCACAGAATCTCATGGCTTTCACAGAGGGTACCTGCATGTGTCTGTGGCACCTTTCCCTGCCTAAGCAGAGCACTGGCTTTTTTTCTCATACCAGCTACAGGGCCTTCTCACTGCAGTAGCATCAGAGCTATCCCTAACTTCTGGCTTCAAAATTTTTAAAGCAGTCATTGTGCTTTGAAATTGCTGGGTGAGAAGAGAGGAGTTTCGTGGTTTTAACAGACATCAGTGCAGGAGAGCCAGGCGCATTTTAAAGAGAAATCTGAACAAGGATGAAGGGGAGTGTTTTGAAAGTCTGTTCTGCACAGCAGGATAAAGGGCAGTGCTTAAGATAACAGGACTGCACAGCCCATGTCAAAGCCTGTCCTGCTGCAGGCTGCCCATACCAGCCTCTTCGGCAGGGTACAAGACCACCCTATAGGATGCCATATAGGTGACAGAGCATTTTAAATTACTGAGTCACAAAATTCAAATGCTGTTTGACAGTTACATAAGCAAACTATTTAGTTCTAGTTCCATCTCAAACTAGTATTTTATAATGACTCATTCTTTACAGTTTTAGATATTCTTTCAAATGCTACTGTTTCACCTTTCAAGCTAAATGCCCTCTCTCCAATAGCTGAATTCTAAGGTTGAACATTGGCCATGAAGCTAATGTTATTTAGAAGTGTTCACTGCGTATCAGTAAATAAGCCCTTCAAATGGTGATACCATGTGACACAACTGAGCAAGATAAGAGGGGCAATTTCTTGGTCTAAATTCAGAATTGCTTAAGCAAATCCCACTAATTAGACTCTGTGGAGCTCACCCTGCGACAGGGAGCGTACGGCTGACCAAGCGCTCCCCGCGGAACGTGTGTTGGAGGAACCTGCCCGGCCCAACTGGGAGGGGAGCGCGTGGTGACCAACTACGTCAGTCTGCACAGAGGGCACTGAGGGAGAAGACACAGGCAACAGAAAGGGCCAGAGCCTATTTTTATGACTGGCTTGATATGATCGCAAAAAAGACTTTGCCTGGAGTACAGTTGCAGACAGAACTTAACTGGGAAGAGGGGAAGGACAGGAGAGTACACGCACAAGTAGCTGGGTCAGATAGATGCGTGGTGACAGGCCCGCTTTAACATACGTCTCACTCTCTGTCTCCCTCTGCAGGTCCCAGAAGGCAAAGTGGTGGTTCTGTCTTTTAGGTACCTAGACCTGGAAAGCGACAACTTGTGCCGATACGATTTTGTTGATGTGTACAACGGGCACGCCAACGGGCAGCGCATCGGCAGGTTCTGCGGCACCGTGAAGCCGGGCGCCCTCGTGTCCAGCAGCAACAAAATGCTGGTGCAGATGACTTCAGATGCTAACACTGCTGGAAGTGGATTCATTGCCAAGTTTTCTGCAGCGGAACCCCACGAAAGAGGTATCAGACAACTACCCATGTGTTGAAAATAAATATAACTGCACGGCTCTGTGGAGAGCTATGTGAATGCATAAGACCTTGTGATACCAGAGGTACTGGAGATTGTGCTCCTCAATATATTCATTATCTAGAACAGCAAATAGCAAAGTAAGAGCAGTTGCTGACAATATGCAGTTAATCAAAGACATAAAGACGAAAGCTAACTACTTACTGTAAGAGTTGCAGAGGGATCCCAACTAGCAGCAGTATGGTAATACCTAATAAATAAAATGGCAGATGAAATTCAATGTAGGTGAACATTGCAAACAGGGAGAAAAACACCCTAACTTCACATCTACTACAGCAGGCTCTGAATTCACTCCTACCACTTGGGAATAAGATCTATGGATTAAAATAGTTTAGGAAAACAGTAGTTAATGAAAACATCAATCCAATGCTTATTAGATGTCAAAAAGCCAGTGGAAGCTTGCCTTGTTTTTTTTTTTTTTTTCCCCTTTTTTTTTTTTTTTTTGTCTAAAGAAAAGGGAATAAACACCAAAACCAAAAAGATTATTGTGCCACTATAAATCCATAATGCATCTACATCTTGAAATGGAGCATCATTCTGGTTCTCCCATCTCAAAACAGGAAATACTAAAACCAGCAAAAGCAATCAGAAGCAACAAATAAAAAAGGCATTAAGGGATATCTGGTTGAAGACCAGCTGGACTTTTTCATGCCGTAAAAAAAGAGAAAAATCAAGGGAGATGTAGGAAAAGACTCAAAAAAAATCACAAGAAAATGAATGGGGAACAGACAGTCACTGTCTCTTCTGATACAGAAATCAGAGGAGAGCATGGCTGCAAAGGAAATCAGACGGTGGTTTTCCTCGGTGAGCTGCTAAGCTGTGGAGCGCTGTGCCATGGGAATTTCTACATCGGTTTAAAAATAATTAGAAAAACATATGAAAGAAACATCTATTAGGGATGCACAAAGGCATCAGCTTTCATTTACAAGAGCTGTGAACTTCTACCGCCTGGGCGATGGTAGCAGGGTCATATCACTGGGTTCTTATCCTGCTAATTCACTTTTTCCAGTGTTTTTGCTATTAGTATGATACCAGACTAGACAGGTCCAGGTCCAGACGTTAAATAATTTATTAGTCTTTATACTTACATCAGTGTTTTGATAACTTTTTGAAATACGTATTAGACAACTGTGACTTGATAAGGTTACCATAATAAAGAAGTTCTACAGTCGTATTACAAACAGGGATTACATATGTGACGTAGTCTTGTAATTTGGGGCTGGGAAAAGGACATAGGTAGCCTGGGCTGACATTAAAAAAATTGCTGGAATTTGTTTCCAGATGACTTCTTGCTTTCCAAGGATAGCAGTTCCTTCCACAAGCCACAAACCTTTCTTCTGTGCTCCATTTACTCAAAGAATCTGAAAACTAGGAACATGTTGCAGTCTTGGACTAAGTTAGTTATTAAATGTAAATAATGATAGTTGTTTAACTTAAGAAAAATTTAACTGGTTTTAAAAAACACACAAACAAAAACTATCTGGACCTTCCAAACAAGTAATTAGTAAATATTTTTGAGCTATGTTGGCTTGATTAGCAATCATTGCATTTCTTTTCAAAGAAGAAGCAAAAGCACTCAAGTTGTTTTGTCTTAAATAGGGATTTTTCAAGAGTATGCAGGAAATATATAAAATCCTTTGTATCCGAGCAGGTTGGGACAACTGGAGTCTGGGGGTGACTTCCAAGGCAGACAAGGCAGATGAGCTGCCTACGAAACCTTTTGTTGAGACGGACGGTCAGTTGGCCAAGATACGGTCTCAGTTAAAAATTGCATTATGCAGGTTATCAGCATTCCTTCTGCATCTGGGGTTACAGTGTATTTTTATTTCCAGGCGATCAGTACTGTGGGGGACGGCTAGAGAAACCTTCTGGGTCCTTTCAAACTCCCAACTGGCCAGATCGAGATTATCCAGCAGGAGTCACATGCTCCTGGCACATTATAGCCCCAAAGAATCAGGTAATTTTCTAGCTTTTTTGTGCCTTTGCTGTGTTTTGCTGTGTGTTGCCAGAATAGTCATTATCTTCAAGAAACTATGTATTATCAGTGGCCTGCTACTGCCTAATAATTGTATTGGACTAAAAATACAATAGTATGTCTGAAATTTAAAGTTGGATACTAGCAAAGAATGGTTATTAATGACTTGAAGTAGATTTAGTAGTTTGATTTTCTTAAGCATGTTCATCTTTATAAATTTCTCTACATTTCCATGCTTAATCTTCTGCTCATGACAATAATCTTCCGAATAAAATAGCTTCTCCATATTAACATAACTGCTTCAGATCTTTCATGTTTTTCCATATACAAAGCTATTTTCTTCCTTGAGCTCAAGCTATATGTCAGCTTAGTCTTTCCTGTATTTATCTTTAATCCACTTTCCTTGCTAGCTAGGTACAGGTCATTTAACAATCCTATAGATAGACAGCAATTTAAAAAAAAAAAAAAAAGCTTATAAAAAGCTTATAAAAATAGCTTACCTGTTAACTGTAGCTTAATTTGTTTCTTTCCAAATATCTGTAGATGAGACTAAATACTTTTCCCAGGCTTGTAGAGAAGATTTAAGAGAAAGCTATATAAGCAGGAAAAAAGATAAAGGCATTATTCTACGGCTTTAAAGATCCTGTTGCATAAGTTGTGTCCAAATACCTACATACACTGCAATAGTGGTTGTTTGCATAAAAATGAGACAGAGTTTTGAGAGTGAAAATAGCAAGTTTTGACAAAGTATCTTTTTTTTTTTTTTTTTTTTTTTTTGTCAA